ATTGAGACTCCATATTAGTAAGTCGGTTCTTCTTCATTGTGTTCAACTTATTTTTTTCCACTTTTATTCAGTCTCTCCAAAACTTTCTCCTTGTCAGAGACAAAACTTATATGGTTTAATATTAATGTAAAGACATAAAAAAAGAACCCGGATGATTCGATAAAGCCCCCACTCAAGGTAAAGATAAGACCCATGACTACACCATGTCCATATAATATTGAAAAATAAAGTATAAATACAAGATATTTCACACATGCAAAGAGGACATCTATGGGAAATGTTATTTTAATAGTTTTGATTGAGTAAATAATAAATATCTTAATTTGATTTTGTAATATGGTTTTCAAACTATAATACACTTGAAGATGGTGAGTTGGACAAAGTTGATCACTACATACAAGCAGTCATAATGATATTCTATAGATCTTCAATTTTTGTGAGAAACATATTTAATTATTGGTATGTATGGCACAAGATCACTTGTTTTTAGAAGATTTAGATGATGAAATATTTGTTATTTGATAAACAAAATAGTTCACATTCATACGCAAAAACTAGACACAGTCGTAGAGGAGTGACAATATTCTCTTATCAAATAATAAAATCATAGTCTTCGGCATTTATGTGAACAAATTATCCAAAAATGATGTAGTGGAGGATGAAGAAGTTTGCCTGCTTCGTGTGAGAGAAATTTCAACAATATTAATTTGATGAGGCCATCAAAGAGTTGCACTTGGAGAGGAAGAATAATCATTCTCGATAAACTTTATCACATCTAGGTCAAGCATAACTCAGAATATTGAAAATTGAAAAGCTATTAAACCTTAAGTTATAGCCAGATGTTCCAGAGATATATAACACACAGTTTTTGAATGGTAATACATAACATTTGATAAATGCTTTAAGAATAATTTAGTTTTTCTATTTTTTGATGATGAATAAATAGATTAAACCAATATAAGCCTATGTTAATATAACGCCAGACCATGGAAACAGAATAATAGTAAACGGGTGAGAAATTAATTGTGAAGAATGTGTACAATTGTCATGTTCAATCTTATAAAAAAAAAATTTCTTGTGAGTTTTATGTACAAAAAAAGTGGGGGAGAATTTGGATTTTTTGCATCATGGACTCCTCTACAACTACAACACACAATCTTTTCTACAAAAAAGTGACAATAATAGCACAATTCTTCTACTCTCTCTTCTATCATTTATAATTTATTGATTTTTATGTTACAAAGNATCATGGACTCCTCTACAACTACAACACACAATCTTTTCTACAAAAAAGTGACAATACTAGCACAATTCTTCTACTCTCTCTTCTATCATTTATAATTTATTGATTTTTATGTTACAAAATCATTTCATGTTTTTTAAATAACTTGGAATAACAAAATCGTGTCTAAAGACTTTGTCGAATAAATAAAATTCGAAACTCATATCATAATATTTTTTTAAATTATAATATAAAATTATTTATGTGCATTATATGTGGGCATCAACTAATTATATAAGTGAAAACTCAACTTATAATTGTAATATTAAATAGATTATTGAATGGTGACCACTTTTTTTTTTGGAGAATTACACTAAGATCTTTTGAGATTTTTCACTTAATCACTCAAATCCCAGATATTTAAAATATTATACACAAACCCCCTAAGATTTGTACACATGTAACAGTTAGACCCTTTCCGTCATTGTCTAGTAAATTACACTCAACCTCTTGAAGTTTGTAGGCATAAAATAATTAGACATGTTAAGTTTAAAATGTTATACTTAAACAAAAAATACTCTAATCAAATATAGAATATCAAATATTTTAAATTTTATAACTAAAATTTATGTTTTATTGTATCATTTATTAAAATAAAATTAAAAATAAAAACCTATTTTTTCTTAAACAGTTGTAATTACTATACCATTATATTATTTATTGGAATAAAACTAAAAAATTAAACCAGGATTCTAAGTAATTCATAATAGAATATGAATTTTACAACCAAAATTCATGTTCTATTATTTTATTTATTAAAATAAAATCAAAAATTGTAAGACCCTGTACTAGAATTATATAATAATATCATCTTAATATTTGTTCTAGTATGAATAAAAAAATTGTGGAAACCTCGAATTACTGTTAAAAGATTGATCATGAAGTTTGAATTTCGAATGAATAGTCGGGTCAAACTTAATTTTGAATGTGTTTAAAATTAAAATGCGTGGCTAAGTAATTTTGTAAATATTTTTAGGTCAAAATAAGGTTTCAATTGAATGCGAAAGGTTGAAAAACATTGGGAAAGGTAATATGAGGTATATTGGAAGTTATAAAGTACTTCGGAATTAAAACCTATTTTGGAGACAATTTGGGTAAAAAAGAATTTGACACTACTTTAGTATTTTGATTATAACTTATTACTATAATGTCCAATAGAGCTGATTTTTGGAGATCCAAAATTAGACTTCAAGGGCTACAAAAGTATATTTCACAAACATTTTCTAAAATGGCTTGTAAATAGGTCAAAATGGATATGGAAGGCGGGTGTATACTATTAGAAACGTGTAGATGGTTGAAACACGCGTCCNATTTATTAAAATAAAATTAAAAATAAAAACCTATTTTTTCTTAAACAGTTGTAATTAATATACCATTATATTATTTATTGGAATAAAACTAAAATGGCTTGTAAATAGGTCAAAATGGATATGGAAGGCGGGTGTATACTATTAGAAACGTGTAGATGGTTGAAACACGCGTCCGGACGCACCAGGCAGAAGTTGGACGATCTGTGCTGATTGTTTTCTCCATTTTTGGCATTATAAATACCTAAGGAATGACCCTTAGGCATATGGTTTAGCAATTGTTTATCCGAGAAAACCCTAGAAAACTTGAGAGGAAGAAAGAGAAGAGACACGAGAAGGATTCTCGCTTTGTGATTGATTCAAACACGCTAAGGTTATTTTCAGACATCGGATTAAAGGTAAGAGTTTCTTCTTAAACTTATTCATTGAGGTTAGGATTAACATATATGTATATTTTGATTCCAAATAGTATATCTATATATCTATATATATATATTATTTTTTATTATAAAATCATTGTTTCTTGATTTTCTTGCAAATCATATCATGTCTTGAATGAGGTTATCATTTGATAGCCATAAAAACTCTAGTTCTTGATATCAAAACCCTAATTTTTAAGAAATATAGATTTTACTCTTCATATTCCATTGTTCTTGGTTTAGAAACTTTAGTGTTTTGTTTGAATAATAAAATATATATTTCTTGATGATCTCTTCAATATTTTCTTGAGTTATTATGTTGGAAAAATACTTGTGGAATTATAGTTCTTGGTTTACTTGTGATTTGGTGAATTAGTTTGGTATTGTATTTCTTGTGTAGATATTTTGATGAATATGGGTGACCGTTGAGCAGGTATCATATAATGGATAGATATGTTTTTTATTCCGAATGAGTTTGAACGTTTCATAACACTCGTAGTGGGGTTGTGCTTTACGAGAACTAAACCACTATTTACTTACGGATATCGAGGCTGAGTGTTAGTATATTATTCTTGGGTTGGATTTATCACTGCCAATACGTTGGTATACGCCCTTCCTAAAGTTGTGCATCCTTGCAAGGATTGAATATGTATGTGGGGGTTAGAGTATTCTCAATATATGTATTCATGTTAAATCTTACTACATACTTGAGATACAACGTTGGTTATGATTTATTGTCTGAAAATTGGTTTTACTTCTTTATTAATTTATTGTTACTATGTAAACTTGAGACCTATTAAATTATCACTGTTTTTATTTCTAAAGTTGTATATGATATTTTATAAAATGAGATTGATATGTTTTAAATGTTTTCAAAATCTTGTTCGAACTTAGGAGGATTATCTTACAGAGCTTATTGTTCACCCCCTATAAACCACATTTTTTTTTTACATTATGGTTTAGAGGAAGAACTTGGATTGGATGAACAGGTAAATTGGGAATCTCAGATTGATGGAAACGTGGATCTCGATGTGGACGTTTAGAGATGTTTCATTTATGTTGTAGATTGAGAGATTAATTATGAGATAATGTTAAGGATAATATTTTATTTATTCCGCTGCAAGATAATATTTAGTTTTTGGATATAATTGTCATGGTTTGACGTATTTGTTTTAGATAATACTTTAGTTATTATGAATGATGAATAAAATTTCAGTTATTTATGGATTTTATTAGTTGCTTTCATGATATAAATGATTATAGATAGTAATGTTTTACAGGGTGGATTTTGGGGTATTACAAAAATAAATATCTAATTTTTTCTTAAATATCATAATTAATATGCAATTATACTATCTATTAAAATAAAACAAAGATCGTAATGGATATAATATCTTATACCTTTAATTGGGGTAATTTAGNTGCTTTCATGATATAAATGATTATAGATAGTAATGTTTTACAGGGTGGATTTTGGGGCATTACAAAAATAAATATCTAATTTTTTCTTAAATATCATAATTAGTATGCAATTATACTATCTATTAAAATAAAACAAAGATCGTAATGGACATAATATCTTATACCTTTAATTGGGGTAATTTAGTAATTTAATTTAGTTGTTTAAATTATCAAATTAAATTTTAATAGATAGTATAATTATATAAATTATAATTTTTTTAAAAAAATAATTTTTATTTTTGATTTTATTTTTATAAATGTCATAATAGAACATAAATTTTGATTGTAAAAAGATGTGTAGGTGTAATTTGTTAACGGATATATTAACGCATATTAATGACACAGTTTTAAGTGTTATCTTCATATAAATTTTAGAAAATCTGTATGTAATATTTTAAATATAAAAAGATCTATGGGATGTCGGTATAATTCTCCGTTTTTTTTTCTTAACGTCACCTAACAGGATGTTTATTGAATGTTGTTATTCACGCTGTCTCCTTTTCCTTTTCCCCCCAAAACCATGGTTTTCAGCAGCAGCAACCTCGGTTCCTCCCCTTCCATTCTTCAACCGCTCAAATCCCCAAGACCCCTTTTCCTCACAATCTCAAAAACCCTTAGTCGAATTTCCGGAACCCAAGCTAAACCACCCCAAAAGAAAACATCCACGGATGGTCCCAAAATACCCACCCGCAGAAACCCCAGAAGATCCAAATATGGTACCTCTAGGAAGTCAATTCTCAAGAAAACATTAAGCCAAGAACAGGTGATGTTCACGGCTCCGGTCTCCGATGACCCGGTTGTCGGGATTATTGGTGGAGGGATCTCAGGTCTGGTTTGCGCCCTCTACTTGGAGAAAAGAGGGATTCGGTCCACTGTGTTCGACACGGTTGGTCAGTTTTTTCGGTTTGATTGTTTGAATGGGAATTCATGAGTTTTATTTTGAGTTATTCTAGCTGTAAATTGTCTGATATTGATATTTTGTAGGAAATTTATTTTGGTTTTCTGGGTTCTAATCGTTTTGGGCGGTGCTTGAATTGAAAATTACTTAACGGGTCAAAATGCACTCGTAGGTGAAATAGTAATCTTGTGTCTCACTATCGAAGTAGTGATAGAAAAAGGGCGTAGGAAGTTTCAGACGATTCAGAATGCATGTCACATTATCATGAGAGGATAACACTATTTCATAGAAAGATATAAAAATACATAATTAGTGGATAAGAAATCCACCACAAGAGTGCAAGAATCACACCAAAAAAAAGAAGCTATGAGCTACAATCAACCTTCCAATTGTGTTGTAGAGCTAATATAGAAGTGTCACGAAAAGCATCGGTAACCACAGGCCATAAAGATGAAAAAATTCACTCTATCCCAAAGCAATTCTTTATCCTCTTCCTTTTCTTCAAAGATTCTACGATTCCTCTCAATCCATACCACCCAAAAAAATAGCCAAAATTGCACATTTCCATAAAATTAATGCTTTTTTATCATTTCCAAAACCATCAAAACGCATCACAAAAATAGGAAATACTTCATATTTATTTGTAGTTTCGTATTTTAATCGCACTTGAATAAAGGGCACCAAATTAGATACCAAACCGGAGTCAAAAATATCTCTCCTGCTTGATATATAGTTATTAGTTGTGTTCTGTTGCTTTTTTGCAACGTTTGTTTTTAATCGTCTAGATTAGTTGGTGCTTTCTATCAAGTAGAGGTGCATGAATGTCCTGGTTCAACTTACTTGTCCCTATGTCCTATTAACCCCTGCATCTTTCACATTTTTATTTCCAGGCAGTGATGTATGATTTCATTGGATATTAGCGCATGTAAGTACGTCTCTGTTGATGTGGGACCATATATAAGAGTGAGCCATGCCACAAAAAGTTGTGCTACGAATAGAGACCTGAATGTGCCATATAATTTTCCCATAGTGTTGTATTTTTAGTTGCTCTCTCATATATATATATAGTGTACTCTTCCTGCAAACCATATGTCCTCAACCACTAGCTTTTTGATGCTCTCGGTCTTGGGTCTCGGTATTGCCTTTTAACTTCTCAGTCAAAAAAAGAAAAAAACAGCACAANGTGCCATATAATTTTCCCATAGTGTTGTATTTTTAGTTGCTCTCTCATATATATATAGTGTACTCTTCCTGCAAACCATATGTCCTCAACCACTAGCTTTTTGATGCTCTTGGTCTTGGGTCTCGGTATTGCCTTTTAACTTCTCAGTCAAAAAAAGAAAAAAACAGCACAAAAGAGGAAAATAGAGGCAATAAGGCCTATCTTGCTAAAATAGTTTCATGAAACATTGTTCCAGCAGAGTCACCACTTTGGGTTTGAAGTATTTCTCTTTTTAAATGAGGTAGCCTGAATTAAATTTTGTTGAATCACAATTCTAACTCACAATTATGTTGGTAGCCCTGAGAGCCAGTTTAGCAAATGAAAATGGTTTACCTTTCTGTATTTTTCTTTACTTTGGCCCATAGGTTAGTTGTAGGGAATATAAAATTGGTTCAGTTGGAGTTGCAAACTGAGTGAATTGGTGGTTTCTTGTGTTTGTGTTTTGTTTTTTGAGCGTTTCATGGTCATCTTAAGTTATGCAAAGAATGCACAGAGGACAACATTATTGGAGCGCTTGGCAAGCTATGAAGGATGTCAAAAGTCTAAGAGATTGGTGAGTTGTTGGTCTTTACTGGCTTCTAAGATGACTATATTTCTGGGATGCATTCCCTTTCAGCATAGGTATTTCCCAAGCTTCACCGAAGATTTACTTACAGAAAGGTGAAGGGTTTCAAGTCACTCCTATGTTGGAAACTCATGATTGGGACAAATTTGTTTAGATTAGTGGTGGTGTTTGTGATAGTGGCATCAAGTAAACAGGAGCATGTGGATGAAGGACACTAACCAACATGTGGTAGTTACCATAACCAAATATGTTAGAACAGAAAGGAGGTTGCCAGTAGCTAAGATTTCATTTTTAATTTAGATTAGCACAATAAGTTGCTTAGCATATAGATTTCAGAGGGACAAGGATGGTAGAAGTTTACATCTAGTAAGCTACTTTCTCCTTCAGGTAAATCTTCTCATTCTAAGGTTGCAAAAAAAATTGGGATAGGAATGAAGGATTTTTGGGGGTGAGGGCTATGTGATGCATCCTTCCTCTCATTTTCTATCATTGTTTGGTCATATTGAGACATATGCTTATGTGAATGTAGACTTAAAACTTTAAAAGTTATGGAGGGGTTGTTCTGTAAATGGGTAGGAAAAGAAATAGTTGTTTTTGATAATTGATAGCAAAAATGCCATTGAGATTAGGGAGAAGAAGGAAATGTTAGGTCCAATTGGCGTCAAATTGAATTCTAGTGAAGGTCAGAATCTAGATGAGAGGAATGTGGAAGAGATTCTGTGTATCGAGAATAAACCAGTGGGGTGGTAGGTGATTGTCTATTTGGTGAGGGTAGTTGGGGAGAGATTGTGTGAATTTCTAGTCAGGATGGACCTAGCTTTAGTTTTGATTAGCACAAAAGTTAAAAAGGAGAGTGGGGTTACGAAGTTCTAGGAAAGCTGGAGAGGTGGATTAGTTGTTTCATGAAGATTTTGAGCTACAATGTATGTGACTTGGGCAATAGGAAAGAGAGAAATTCTATTGAGAAGGTAGGGGTTATAGCAGATCTGGACATAGTTTTGCTGCAAGAAACTAATAGGGAGATTATTAATAAGTGGATTGTTTCTTGTATCTGGGGATTTAGATCTAGAGAGTGGACCTCTTTACCATCTCTTGGTAATATGGGAGGTTAGTATTGTTTCTGTTTTAGAGAGAGTTTGGTTGGGCATCTGATAGGACATGGCTTAGAAGAACTTTCGAGGAAGAGCTGATAGGTTTTATATGGGTTATGTTATGCAGTCCTAGATGTTGTTTGGGGGATAGGTTTAGTGTGATTAGGTACATGTTAAAAAAGTCTACTAGATGTAGGAGGATTAGGAGCTTAAGGGATTTTTATTAATTGATTAGGGAAACAAATTTGTGGGATCCACTTTTATGTAATTCGTCGTTAACCTCGTCTAATTCGAGGGAAACTCGTGTTTGTTGCAGATTGGATAAGTTATTATTTTTAAAGGGGTGGGAGGTTTGTTTTCCAAATGTGAGACAAGAAGCTGGGAACCCTTCTATCAAGCTTTCCAGGTTGCATTGGGGAAAAATTTTCATTGACAGAATCAGTAAACCAATTGTTTTCCATCTTTTTCCCAATCTTACCCTCAAACACAGTTCTCGGTTTTTGTCTTCCAGGAATAGACCTTATTGGTTTTGACCTCTTACACAACTTACCTTGTCTTCGTTGGATTCCTGAAGGTCTTCAGTACTAAGGTTCCAAATTTATACATTTCTGAAGCTTTTACCTCATTTAAGGTTCAAATCATTGAACTTCCCATGCTGATAGCTATACTGAATTCCAAATGTTCTCATCCTCTGTGGACAAATCCTGATTTTTTTGTTAGTCTGCCTTTTAAGAAAAATGAGGATGTCTATCTAAAAAAGGCTAGTCATAGTGGGATGACACCTGAACAGTATGCCCCTACTGTCCAATCACAGTTTGAAGGGCTCATTGAACTTATAACTCCCTATGGGCTTCTGAAGCATATTTTGTTGACAAAAGAAGTGAACAAATCAGGAAAAATGAGATTGATCATCAATTATCAATTGCTCAATCGTTTTCTTTGCTGATGATAAGTTTTCCTTACCCCACTGTGTTTCATTGTTCCAAAATCTATCTCATGCCAAACTCTTCTCTAAATTGATCTCAAAGTTGGGTTTTGGTAGTTGGGCATGCAGTTGGGCATCGTCCCTTCTGAAAGGCTTAAGACTGTCTTTGTATTCCGCAGCACCATTTTCAATGGACAGTAGTACTTCAATTTGGTCTCAAAACTGGCTCTTCTTTGTTCCAGAAGGCAATGATGAAAAATTTTGATCCTATTCTCACCTATGCTCTTGTCTATATTGTTATTCTATCCTGATATTTCTGCCCATGAACGACTGTTGTTCCAATTTCATGACCTTGTTCCAAAATATGGGATTATGCTCTCACAAAAGAAAATGATCATTGGTTAATCCTCTGTTGATTTTCTTGGCATGGCCATTTTTTATGGTCGTTATTCTGTTCAACCCCTTTTGGCCTTCCTGCTTGCTACTTTTCCCAATGTTTTGACATCTGTCAAAAAGATCCGGGAATTTCTGGGCATTGTAAATTATATAATTGATTTGATTTCAAACTTAGCCCAGTATACCACTCCTTTGTTTGCCATGATAAAAAAGAATTCTCACCCTTGATCTGACTCAATTCATGCTGTGGTTCAGCTCAAACAATTGTCTTACACCGTTCCCGCTTTTCAGATATGGTCTACTGGGAAGCATGTTCTCCAAACTGATGCTAGTGATCTATGTAGCATGGACACTCTCGAGAAGGTGCCGTATCCGTGTCGGACACCGACACTTTTCGGACACATGTGAGATACTCTTTTATCTGTGTCTGTTATTAAATGATAAAATTTTAATTTTGGACACATGTCTGACACTTCTTTAGAGCGTGTCTACTACTAAATAATAACATGTGTTGAAATGTAATTAACAAAGCTTAAAAATTTAAGAACATATAATTACAAACACTAGATATTTTAAAGTTGTACTCCAAATATAATAATAAAAACAAAAAATACATAAAATTTTTAAAAAAGAGGAATTAAAAAAATGAGAGTAATTATTTAAATTATATATTAGGTACACATTGTTTATAAAAAAAATTAATGATTATTGACTATTATGGGGATGCTTTAGTCTAAAACTTCACAGAGTATGACTAGACATAAGATTTACTTATTATAAAATACTGAATTTTTTATAAATTGTATATCATTATCACTATATTTGCAATAAATT